ACATTTTTAGTTTTCAAAACATATATATGACCTCAAATACCACAGAAATTGGTTTAAACAACTAAGATAGCTTCCCCTGAGGTCCCAAAGAAGACAAGTTATTCTCAAGATTCTATTATATATTTGTACCTGAGGTTGCACATGTATCTCCTCAGATTTCGAAATTAAATATTTTAAGTTTTATCCTTATGTAAAATAACATGTCACTTAGAAATATTTTTGCTTTAACTAAATTTTTACAAGTATTCACAACTTATTTGTAAAAGCTGAACAAATAATCAAAATACAACGTTTCATATTTACACAATTAAAAGTTTATTAAAGCCATCAACAGCTTCCACTTAAAAACACTCTACATTTTACATGTTACAAAACACTTCTATGTCGTCTTCAGATGAGGTGCATCGAAACATAAAATGTAATATGTTTTTAGTGGAAGCTGTTGGCAGCGTTAATAAACTTTTAATTGTGTAAATATGAAACGCTGTATTCTAATTATCTATTCAATTTTAAATATTACACAAGCGTCGATCGCTCATACTCATAGCTCTTTATTTCCAATTTTTAATAATATGTATTTGTTATTATTATGGTAAAAAGAACACAAAATAAGACTAATAAAGTATCTTCTATAACCTTCTCAAAAGAGGACAGAATCACTGTATCAAAACTTACTGTCATAACACAATAGGAGCTGCATCCCTTTGGACTTTGGCAGTGTCACAATAATCTGGGGCATGATGGGCCCCTGGCTCTGAAATGTAAAACACGGATGTTTTAATAAATTCCACATTCGTATCCTTCGGTAAAATGTCATTCCCAAAGTATTAACACCACTATATATAGTTAAATTATTTATAGTTTATATATATTCAACAATTGTTTACTACATTTAATTACTTGATAAAACACATTTATAAAACATGGTATAAGAAAGGCTAAATATAAGAAAAAACATACTTTTATGTATACTTTTGTTCCTAGCAAATTTAATACCTAAGGTTTTATATGTTAGCTCTCACTGGTGAGTTCAACCATACAGACAATGCCTTCTGGATGTTCCATTATACTATGATACAAAACAATTGTATTTTTGTTACTTGCATACCCTTCTATCTATCATCTGAATTTATTTATCTGCATTTCAAAAATATACATTCTATAGTTTTGGAAATCATGAAAATGTACCATTTGTGATATTTTATAAAAGTTATTATTTTGGACAATCTTATGATTAGAAAATAAGTGAATAGTTTTAAAGCTTTGACCAATACACAAATATCTATTAACCCTATCACGATGGGTCATGTGCCAAAGGCCACGTTATCACGTTTGATGACTTGCATTCAAAATTTTATTGAACTACTATTTTATGAATCTGTCAACTAGTTTGGTGTCAAATTGTAGATTATAATTCAAATTTTAGTATCATATGTTAGTTAGTTTATTAATTTAAAAGTAAATATTAAAACAATACGGCTAAACATCAATTTTTGTGTGTCACGTGGTATTTGGAATGCAGCACTGGTTCAAATTAGATGTTTGTGATGTCAAAATACAAAATCTACAATTTTGTACGAATTACGACCAATATTGACAAGCTAGAATATAAAATAAGAACTTTTTATAGTTTTCTATTTGTCTAATATATACACTCATGTAC